TCTAGATTCAATGAGCAACACTTTACTTTTAATCTGCAGTACAAACATTCTGGTACGTTTGCTAACCATAAATATGAAGAACGGTTTTACCCCAAAAACTCCGAAAATGTGCGACCCCATTATAGTCAGTCCAGTCGTGAAAATGGGACCCCATCCAGCGGCACATCCCCATTAGCCTCTTATGCGGAAGTCCCCCCCCCCTTCCCCTCGGGCTCAAAACAGTAACACAGCAAGTGCAAAAGGAGTCATGTCATGTGAGGACAAGCTTGAAGGGTTGAACCTGATTGCAACTGAGTGTTTCATAAGAAAACGAAGAATTTAATCCGAAGAATAACTCCCAATTGTATAACACTAATTTTATTTGATCTGAAATCAAATTCTATTCTATTCAAAAAGTGTAATCAAATAATTGATAAATGAAACTAGAAAAAGCGGAATAAATGCCGATGAAAACTAAACGTTGATACAAGAGAAATCATGTGGTTCTTGAAACAAACTCAATTTAAGCTATTTTGACTCTGTTTAAAAGGTAACGAAAGAAAGGCTAAACTAACAAAACGAAGATAACATACAGTTCATTTGCTTCTATGGCGAGTTTTCTAAAATGTCCTTGAATAAGCATTAAATCGGTCCTGGTAGCAGGTAAACTGTTAACACTTTGATCCTCCAATACGGCGGTCGGTAAAAAGCTTATAAAAACTCGAACAAAGGGGGAACGTTTGGGGTTCCTGTTTGGCGTCTACGGTTTTCCTACTTTTGCCAGCAAAATTAAATATAAAAATTCCATGAATAGTCCTCTTACTACGTTAACTCTGAGGTTTTTGAAAACTCAAATAGCCTAAAAGTTTTTCAAAATTCATTTTTTTTGCCTGTAACTTTTCATATAATGTTTCGGGAACAAATGTGCTTGACTTGAAGCAATGATTTTGTCATTTGCACGTGATTTTACGCTGAGTTCCAACAAAACATGACGTCATAGCCCATTTGTTTCGGTGAGAGGGTACTCCCTTTGTAAGCGAATTGTTTAAAACCATTTGGGTCTGAAACAGGGAAAGGTTTTGCGCAGTTTGGATACAAGGTCTGAAATTACATGTTCGTGTATGAGTTTTTGATATTTTGTTGTTGCTATTGTTTTAAATCATCCCTCTTCAGGTCTGTGAATAGGGTAGGAAAAGTCGTACTCTACCGAAACAGGTGGACAGCGAATTCCCTAAATACGTGCCCTTGAAATATCCTTTTAAACGGATAGGGCAATAGACCTTTTTACCGATAAGGCGGCCATATTGAATTAATTCGATTTAAGGAGTATTATAGGATGCCCAGGGGGCATGAGCACATTTAGTTTGTATTTTCGAGCGCTTTTCGGGACATTTTTTCTTAAAGTTTTCTTAGAATGAGAATGTAATGGGAAAAAAGATCCTTGTGCCGTGTTTGGATGTAATAATGATCGCCTTTTTCTAGGTTAGTTTTAGAAATATGGTCTTTTTAAACGGATAGGACAATTGGAGGGTAAAGTTTATTTCTGTTTTTGAAATAATTATAGTTTAAATTATAGCTGAAATTTCTACTCGTGTGGGGCTATTTATTGCTAGGTGCCAGACAGACAAACTCTGTCGCGATACCCATTAAGGGAACGGCGAATCGTAACACCCTCCTTTATGTGCATAATCGTTTCACATGATACAATAGCCGAATCAGAATCCAGCATTGCATCTGGGTTGAGTAATGTATTAGGTGCCAGACCTCTTATATTTTAGGGCAGGTTTTGCACATGCGCAGTTGTATTAAAAGAATGACTAGCAAATGGCTCGTTTCGTGTTGTTGTTTAAGACCAGAATATTACAATTTTGGCGACGAGGATGGCGCTTGTAGGTCAAGTTGGAGAGTATGTGGACGGTAAAAAAGATATTGCAAGTTATATCGAAAGAGTGGAATTGTATTTTGCGGCGAATTATGTCAAGGCGGATTACAAAGTTGCTACGTTTCTAGCGTTTATCGTAGCAGGTGCATATGGCGTGCCGCGAAAATTGTTAGCCCCTGAACGTACAATATATAAGTCTTTTGTGCAATAGTATGAAAAGCTGACTGAACGATTTGGAAACCTAGCTCTAAATTCAAAGTCACTGATCAATAAGTTCCTGGAGATATCAGCAGATCACGATGAAAACAAGTTGATAACTCGCCCAACATATATTGAGAGAACATTCATGGAGCAGGCTTTAGACCAGCAACTAAAATGCAGCAGATTGTTACAAAGCTAGCTCCAAAAATTGCAGTAAGGTGAAGCAGGCAAAAGTTAAAGCTACAGCCCAAATAAGTTGACCTTAGCGACCTAGATGAGTGGCTGAAACCGAGAGTCAAGGCGAAGTGATAGCCTTTGGTTGTTCCAGTAATATGCCATGCTGGAGGGCGAGAAAAGCAAAGGGACATGACAAACAACAAACAAAGGAATCATTCTAAGTGATGTTAGCTTTTTGTTTGGCTTGAATCAGTGCGTAGGGCCTCGCTCTCCAGTATGGCAGGTTTGTGCAACAAAAATGACTTACTGCAAAGGGCCTATTTAAAATGAACAAGGCATGGAGTAAAACATGTTTAATCCGTTTGGGAAGGTGTCGGTAAGAGAGATGACTGTAGATATCTAAAAAAATGGTGAGCTAAGCAACGACGTCGACGACGACGGCAGTGAAAATGTCGCTAAAAAATTAAATTTGCCTCATTTCAAATGTTATCGCGTCTATTTGGAGCTGCTTAATTTTTCAAATGTAGGCGATTTCTCTTGGAGTTGAATTCTTAAGGACTTTATTCAGGTTCAGAAAGAAAAAAGAAGAATTTGTCGTCGTATGTTCACTTTCTCTATAAAAAGTCGCATGAGGAGGTTTCACTTCATAGTCGTGCAGTCAACGTCAAAGAAATGTACTAAGAAGCTTGATGCACGTGCAGCAACTGTTGTTTTTATCTTAAAAAATTGTTTTTAATTGCTATTTGTGGGCATTGAGAAAATGGTAAATCTGAATAAATCAAGAGGTTACTACAAAATAGAATTACAATACATTACAAAAGTAAGAAAAAAATAAAACAATAATTTACATAAATCCTGATCAAAGGTGAAATCTGAGCAGAGCCCATAGTAGGTTTCGCTTTTAAGTTGGTCACTTAAGTTTCCTAGTTTAATGACTGGGTGCATGAGTTAGGAGCTTTGAAATTAAGACGAAGAATTCCTTCTCAGTTCCAGTTAAGAGAGTATCTAAAACAAGTTCTCCCGTTGACTTCTATCCTGGCACGAGAAAAATGGAACTGAAGTGTACCTTCAAGGGATGGCCTCGTCCTCGTGTAGTTTGGTACAATCCAGGTAACAAACAAATTATCAACGGATCTGAAGGTTTTTACATCTCAGAGCAGCTGGATCGAGAGGATACCTTAACTTCCCTTCTCCGTAATGCTAATATCCAAGAAAAACACAGAGGGGCTTATAAATGCACTGGAATGAACAACGCAACCGGCTGGTCGAGTAAAACATCAGGGTATATTGACCTGAATTATCGCTGTAAGTCATTCAATTTCTTATTTCTAATACAACACACGGATTCGCAAAACTACCTCCTTTGAAGCAGGTTCATGAAAACATAATACCATGTTTTCCCTGTAAGCAATGGAAAGTATCCCATTTAGACTAAAAGGGACAGCTCATTCTCCCTTGATTTAGACGGAATTAAATATTGGCTGTTTCATATTTCAAATAACAGATTAACTAATTCCTAACTGAATTTAAACAAAATGTAACTGACAATTTTGTGCCACCTTCCTCTTCCATTCAGACTAAATGGACGCTGGAATTTTTATCTGTTTACCGCCCGGGTCACAAGGCATAAGTAAATAAAAAAAAATTAAAAAATAAAATAAAATAAATAATGACTTCGTTGCGCTAGCTCATTCACAAAGTGGTTCTTTGTCTACCATTCTGGCTCAAATTTACCCTGCGCAGCTGGCGGGATTAACGTGGGATTGATGTGTTGTTTTGATGGCAATGGCGGAATAAGGGTGAGAAGCAACAAAACTGAACCCGGCCGGCCACATATGATGTTGCCTGAGGAATCAAGCACAGGACATTCATTAATGAGGGGGGAGTGTTCTCACCTGAAATTCAGTAGAACCTCTACATAACGAAGTCCTCCGTATAATTAACAATTATTAGATTTATTCCACGAGTGTGCGTTAGATAGGAGATGGTAGTTAGCCAACGAGGCGCGTAGCACCGAGTTGGCTATAATTATCTCAATCCAACAAGCGCGAGTTGAATAATTATTCTATAAAAACCGCCCACAAAATATCGAGAATTCTTTCCGACTTTATTTGTAAACCAAGCGACTTTCATCTTGTTTTTAATTTTGAGCAGACGCGTACAGTTACCATATTTGGAGAGCATGGTATAACGGCTCATATACCATGATGGCTAAGCCAATCAGAGTTCTAGAATTGCATTATCCAATGATTGAATTTTTAATAATAAGCTATACTCTCCGCCCCAGAAATGATGCAGTCAAACCCCGTAAATCCCGACACGGAAGTGGCCGTACTAAGAAAGAGTCCGTATTAGCGAGGTGACCTTATTAAGCGGGCAGAAAATGAAAGGGCGTTCTTTCCCCAGGGGGACAAAGCAAACTGTCCGTAACAATGAGATGTTTGTATTGAGCGGGGTTTGACTGTACAATAAATAAGAGGGACCTCGATATAACAAAACCTCTTTATGGCGAGCATATTTTGCCGGTCCTTTGGGTCTTCGTTCAGCTGTTCGTTATATCAAGATTCTAATGTAGAGTGTTATGTGATTGTTAAAAAGAGAAAACGATACCCCGAATAGCTATTAAAGTCAACACTTAGTAGCACACGTCATATTGGTGGAAGGTAAGAGAAGTGGGGTTCATCCGATCAACCGATCGTTAGAGCGTCTCTTTAGACGGCGTGACGAGACAAGTCGCAAAGGAGGAAACCAGTGGGATGAAATGAATAAACACCTAAAAACTCCAAAGCGTTGTGGTGCCCCATATATTGTCACAAATACTCAGGAGGAGAGGGTAAGAGTAAGAATGTTACCTCTTACGGTTGCAGGAAAAAATGGTAACGATTTTCAAATAATATTTGCTCATCATATCTTCTTATCATCTAATACAGGTATCATCCAGGCTCCGCAGATTTCTTCTCCCCAGGTTTCGGTGACAGCCTACTTCAATGTCAGTTTAAAGTGCTTAGCGTTTGTTAGGCCAAGCGACTGTTGGGACAATTCTTTACGGTGGTATTTTAACAACCGCTCAGGGGAATTAAAATCTGGTGAAAAGTATGATATACAAGAAAGTAAAACCAACACCAGATGCAAAACAGATTTCATTCTCACCATTATTAACGTTACTGAAGCAGACGAGGGAAAGTATAAATGTCAGTGGCTCTGCGACGAGGACTTCCTCAGCTTTTCCAGGTCTTCAATTATCCAGTTGATAGTATTTCCTCCTCCTCCAGAAGAAGAAGAAGGTACTGATACTCCTGTGATATCTAAAGGTCTTGTGTCTTGTGTACGGTACTTAAGTAAATGTGTAACTTGTGTGGCAAATGTGTAATTTTGGCGATCCCAACTTAGTAACTTTCTATTTTTACGATTTAACCCATTTTTTAGATTGAATGAAGAACACTTTACTTTTCATCTGCAGTACAAACATTCTGGTACCTTCGCTAACCATAAATATGGAGAACTGTCTTACTTCCAAAACTCCGACAATGAGCGACCCCATTATAGTCTATCCAGTCGTGAAAATGGGACTTTATCCAGCGGCTCATCCCCATTAGCCTCTTATAGGGAAGTACCCCCCCCCCTCTCTCCCACCCGACCTCGGGCTCTAAACAGTAACACAGCAAATGCAAAAGGAGTCAAAGAATCGAATCCGAAGAATAACTCGCAATTATATAATAGTAATTTTATTCGATTTAAAATTAAATTGTACAAATATGTTCTATTTAATAGGTTTAATCAAATAATTGATACATGAAACTAGAAAAAGCGGAATAAATTCCGATCAAAGCTAAACGTTGATACAAGCAAAATCACGTGTTCTTGAAACAAACTCAATTTAAGCTACTTTGACTCTGTTTAAAAGGTAACGAAAGGAAGACTAAACTAACAAAACAAAGGTAACATGAAGTTCACTTACTCATCTGTGGCGAGTTTTCAAAAACGTCCTTGAATAGCTGGTAAACTGTTAACACTTTGATCCTTGTAGTACGGCGGTCGGTAAAAAGCTTATAAAAACTCGAACAAAGCGAGTACTTTCCTACTTTTGCCAGCAAGATGAAATATAAAAATTCCTTCAATAGTAATCTATTCCCAGTGGACGCTCGCATAACAAAGGCCTGGGACTCAAGAGATGAGTTACGGGACATGCGAGTCTGTAGGCGAGAAGGCGATAGGACTAGACCAAGATAAGAGAAAAAATCGGGGGGGAGGGAGGGTTAAACAAACGAACCCCAAAGCAAAAAGGGTGAAGACCCCCCCACCCCCACCCCACAAAGGGGCTTCGACGGGCGCATGAATCCAATCCTTCCGCCCTTGCAGCCAAACTGGACAAATTTGCTTACACACGTGTTTATTTATATAGAGAAAGCCACTCCCGAGGGAGAAACGCACACACACTCCTGAAAGAGATCTCTCGCTACTAATTCGTCAGAATTAAGGCCAGTGTTACACGAGCGAGCACTGGGAATAGTTCTTTTACTACGTTAACACTGAGGATTTAGAAAACTCAAATATCCTACTGATACTATTTTTTGCCCGTAAGTTTTCATATAATGTTTGGGGAACAAATGTGTTTGACATGAAGCAGCGATTTTGTCATTTGCAAGTGATTTCTTAACTTACGCTGAGTTCCATTGAGAACAAGGACATATTTGGCAATATTATCAAAATGAACCAGCAAACCATGACGTCATAACCCATTTGTTCCGGTGAGAGGGTACTCCCTTTGTGAGCGAATTGTTTAAAACCATTTGGGTCTGAATCAGGCAAAGGTTTTGCGCCGTTTGGATACAGGGTCTGAAATTACATGTTCGTGCATGAGTTTTTGATATTTTTGTTGTTGCTATTGTTTTAAATCATCCGCCTTCAGGTCTGTGAATAGGCTAAGAAAAGTCGTACTCTACCGAAACAGGTGGACAGCGAATTCCATAAATAAGTGCACTTGAAATTTCCTTTTAAACGGATAGGGCAATTGGAGGGTAAAGTCTACTTCTGTTTTTGAAATAATTATAGTGTAAATTATAGCTGAAATTTCTACTCGTGCGGCTATTTATTTCTAGGTGCCAGACAGTAACTCCGACTCTTAACACACTCCTTTATCTGCATAATCGTCTCACATGATAAAATAGTCGAATCAGAATCCAGCGTCTGGGTTGAGTAATCAGTATTAGGTTCCAGACCTCTTATATTTTAGGGCAGGTTTTGCACGTGCGCAGTTGCATTAAAAGAATGACTGGCAAATGGTTCTTTTTGCGTTGTTGTTTAAGACCAGAATATTACAATCTTGGCTACGAGAGTGGCGCTTGTAGGTCGAGTTGGAGAGTATGTGGACAGCAAAGGAGATATTGCAAGTTATATCGAAAGAGTAGAATTGTATTTTGCGGCGAATTATGTCAAGGCGGATTACAAAGTTGCTACGTTTATAGCGTTTATCGGATCAGATGCATATGGCGTGTTGCGAAATTTGTTAGCCCCTGAACGTCCAATATATGTCTTTTGTGCAATAGTATGAAAAGCTGACTGAACGATTTGGAAACCCAGCTCTAATTTCAAAGTCACTGATCAATAAGTTCCTGGAGATATCAGCAGATCACGATGAAAACAATTTGACAACTCGTGCAACATTGTGAGAACATTCATGGAGCAAGCTTTAGACCAGCAACTAATATGTAGCAGATTGTTACAAAGCTATCTCCAAAAATTGCAGTAATTTGAATCAGGCAAAAGTTAAAGCTACAGCCCAAATAAGTTGACCTTAGCGACCTAGATGAGTGGCTGAAACCGAGAGTAACGTCAAAGTGATAGCCTTTGGTTGTTCCAGTAATATAGAGAATCCTGAACAAGAGAAACCCAAGTCAAATTCAAATAAATCGAAGTGGTTCAGGAGGAAGAACATGCGAAGACTCACTCATGTAATGTTTTGTGAGCTACGAAAACCATGTACTGACATTGTATGAAACCTGGAAGAATCAAATGCAAGTGAACGATGGTGATTATAAGAGAAGATGGGTTTGTGCTTTAGATGCCACAGTAGAGGACATCGTCGGCTGAGGCATTCCAATCCTCGCAAGAAGCCACAGGAGAGACGTCATTAATTAGATCATAACCGCGACTTGGAGATCATAAAGCCAGTTCAACATATAGAAGTTGATTGAGAAGTCTGAGTGTCAAATCAGCCATTGCAAAGCTATCTTTTGAGAAGCCCATTGCTTTAACAAAGAACAATAACCAACCAAAAAGCATACTACATGGTCTGGGATAGTGACTTCCACTCGGATAGTAGGTTTGTCAAGAGTTCATGAAGAGGTTTGTGTTAGTAAATGAATGTTTGGATCAATTTAGGCTTCTAGGAAACTGCCCACCTACCACTCGCCTAAGCTAATATTAACACTTACTTCTCGCCTAGGGCAAAATGAAGGCTTAGGGGAGGGGTGGGTGGGCAGTCTCCCAGAAAGCTAAATTGCGAATGTTTGATGAAATAAAGAACTTCCCTTTTTATTCTTTCCTTTTTTACGCGATAGATGTGTCAACCACAGGGACCCTAGACTGTGAAATAAGTGCACAGAAATGTCAACCGCCTTTTCAGACGATAACAGTAACGCCCAAACACTCTAAAGTGACTTTGAAATGCTCGATTAAGAATGGGGGAAAAGTACAAGATATGACCTGGCAGCACCTTGAAAAACACCTCAATGCCAGCAGTGACACCGGTCTGTTCTTACAACACATCGCTTCAAAGAACAGCAGTCAGCCATGTGATTGTTTTTCTGTAAAATACGCCAGTGAGTATGTTCTTCTTTTGCCCTGTCTGTATTACATTGATGGGGAGAAAAATGTCATAATGCGCCCATCAGTTTTTTTGTGTGTCTTATTTTTTAAATGGATTATAACGAATCCTATGAATGCCTCGTAACAGGTTTAGGCAGATTCAAGCTCAGCAGAGGCAATTTTTACGGTTGGGTTGATCGTAAAAACGGTTGAAGTTATAGCCAGCTGAATCACCTCACTTGAATATGCTTTACCGCGAAGGTCTAGTTGCTCATGCCATGCTGGAAGGCAAACAAAGCAAAGGGACATGACAAACAATAAACAAAGGAATCATTTTAAATGATGTTAGCTTTTTGTTTGGCTTGACTCAGTGCGTAGGGCCTCGCTCTCCAGCATGACAGGTTTGTGCCACAAAAGTGACTTACTGCAAAGGGCCTATTTAAAATGAACAAGGCATGGCATGGAGTAAAACATGGAAGGTGTCGGTAAGAGAGGTGACTGCAGTTACCTTAAAAATCGTGAGCTAAGCAACGGCAGAGACGGCGGTGAAAATGTCGCTAAAAAAATAAATTTGCCTCATTTCAATATGTTATCGCGTCTATTTGGAGCTGCTAAATTTGCAGAATTTGTCAAATGTAGACGATTTCTCTTGGAGGTGAATTCTTAAGGACTTTATCCAGTTTCAGAAAGAAAAAAAAGAATTTGTCGTCGTATGTTCACTTTCTCTATAAAACGTCGTGTTCCTTGATTAGGAGGTTTCACTTCATAGTCCTGGAGTCAACGCCCGAGGGGTACTCCAATACATTACCTATACGGGTATGTGCCGCCCAACGGGGTCGTGATTTTGAAGCTCCTGGTTTAGAACGGGGTATCCATTTCAGAGAAGTTTTCTAGAACGGGGTATAATATTTCGAACGCACGAAAGCTCCAGTTTTGTAAGCAGCCATTTGAAATTATTCAAGGACAGATTGCTTTTAAAAGTACGGTTCAATGCGTTAACAAGCAAACTGCTATACCCTTGTTGCACCCTGGAACGAAGTTAAAAATTGGCCCATTTCTAGAACGGGATATCAATTTTAGGGGAAGTTTTTTTTAGAACGGGGTGCCAATTTGGAGTCCGGGCGGCACATACCCACCCCCAAAATACCTAAGTAGGCTCCTCGGGAGTCAACGTCAAAGAAATGTGCAAGAGACGCACGTGCAGCAACTGTTGTTTTCATGTTAAAACCAATTCTGTTTTGACGTTGTCGTCATGGTGGTTCAGATTTTAACATTTCAGATTTTGATATTTTTTTCCACTTATTTAAGAAGTCGCTATAAAAATTACAAATATATGACAAAAACAAGAAGAAGAAAACAAGCAAATTACATAAATCCTGATCAAAGGTGAAATGTGCGCAGTGGCCAAAGGAGCTTAGGCTTTTGAGTTGGTCACTTAAGCTCCCTACAAAGTTTAAATGACTGGGTGCATGACTTATGAGCTTTGAAATTAAGACGAAGAATTCCTTCTCAGTTCCAGTTAAGAGAGTATCTAAGACAAGTTCTCCCGTTGACTTCTATTCTGACACAAAACAAATGGAACTGAAGTGTACCTTCAAGGGATGGCCTCGTCCTCGTGTAGTTTGGTACAATCCAAAAAACAAACAAATCATCAACGGATTTGGAGGTTTTTACATCTCAGAGCAGCTGGATGGAGAGGATACCTTAACTTCCCTTCTCCGTAATCCTGATATCCAAGAAAATCAAGCAGGGGCTTATAAATGCACTGGAATGAACAACATTACCGGCTGGTCGAGTGAAAAATCAGGGATATTTAACCTGATTTATGGCTGTGAGTCATTTAATTTCTCATTTGAATTCTTCTTATACACACGGATGCACAAAACCACCTTAATTAACAGTACCTCCTTTGTATCAGGTTCAGCATAAAAGGGTATTGCCGTGTTTCCCATGTAAGCGATGGAAAGTATCCCATTTATACTAAGAGGGACAGCTCATTCTCTCTTAATTTAAACGGAATTAAATATTGGGTGCTTCATGTTTAAAATAACAGATAAAGTTATTCCCAGCTAAATTTAAAAGAAATCAATATAACTGAAAATTTCGTGCCACCTTCCTCTTTCCATTCAGACCAATTGGACAATAGAATTTTTATTTGTTTATCCCTCGAGTAACAAGGGATAAGTAAATAAGTAAATAAATAAATAAATTACGATTTAGTGGCGGTAGGTCATCCACATGGTGGTTCTTTGTCTGCCATTCTGGCTTAAACTTACCCCGCGCAGCTGCGGGATTAACGTGGGAGTGATGTATTTTTTTCGGCGGCGATGGCGAAATAAGGGTAAGAAGCAACAAAACTAAACCCGGCCGACCACATATGAAGTTGCCTGAGGAATCAAGCAGAAGACAGTCATTAATAAGAGGGGAGTGTTCTCACCTGAAATACAGTAGAACCTCTATATAACGAACTCCTCGGTATAATTAACAATTATTCCACAAGTGTGCGCTGGATATGAGATTGTAGGGAGCAAACGAGGCGCGTAGCACCGTTTTGGCAGAAAGAAAAAGGAGAATTTGTCGTCGTATGTTCACTTCCTCTATAAAACATCGTATTCCTTGATTAGGAGGTTTCGCTTCATAGTCCTGGAGTCAACGCCCGAGGGGTACTCCCATACATTACCTATACGGGTATGTGCCACCCAACGGGGTCGTGATTTTGAAGCTTTTGGTTTAGAACGGGGTATCTATTTCAGAGACGTTTTTTAGAACGGGGTATAATATTTCGAACGCACGAAAGCTCCAGTTTTGTAAGCGGCCATTTGAAATTATTCAAAGACATATTGCTTTTAAAAATACCGTTCAATGCGTTAAGAAGCAAACTGTTATACTCTTGTTGCACCCTAGAACAAAGTATAAAAAACTGGCCCATTTCTAGAACGGGGTATCAGTCTTAGAGCGAATTCTAGAACGGGGTATTAAAAAATGGTCCATTTCTAGAACGGGATATCAATTTTAGGGGATTTTGTTTTAGAACGGGGTGCCAATTTGGAGTCCCGGGCGGCACACACCCACCCAAAAAATACCCAAGTGCGCCCCCCAGGAGTCAACGTCAAAAAAATGTACTAAGAAGCTTGACACACCAGCAGCAACTGTTGTTTTCATGTTAAAACCAATTAAGTTTTGACGTTGTCGTCGTGCTGGTTCAGATTTTTACATTTCAGATTTTGATATTTTTTCCACTAATTCAAGAGGTTGCTATAAAAATTACAAATATATGACAAAAACAAGAAGAAAACAAGCAAATTACATAAATCCTGATCAAAGGTGAAATGTGCGCAGTGGCCAAAGGAGCTTAGGCTTTCGAGTTAGTCACTGCACTTAAGCTCCCTACAATGTTTAAATGACTGGGTGCATGACTTATGAGCTTTGAAATTAAGACGAAGAATTCCTTCTCAGTTCCAGTTAAGAGTGTATCTAAGACATGTTCTCCCGTTGACTTCTATTCGGACACAAAACAAATGGAACTGAAGTGTACCTTCAAGGGATGGCCTCGTCCTCGTGTAGTTTGGTACAATCCAAAAAACAAACAAATCATCAACGGATTTGGAGGTTTTTACATCTCAGAGCAGCTGGATGGAGAGGATACCTTAACTTCCCTTCTCCGTAATCCTGATATCCAAGAAAATCAAGCAGGGGCTTATAAATGCACTGGAATGAACAACATTACCGGCTGGTCGATTGAAAAATCAGGGATAATTGACCTGATTTATGGCTGTGAGTCATTTAATTTCTTATTTAAATTCTTCTTATACACACGAATGCACAAAACCAGCTTTATTAACAGTACCTCCTTTGTATCAGGTTCAGCATAAAAATGTATTGCGGTGTTTGCCCTGTAAGCAATGGAACGTATCCCATTTAGACTAAGAGGGACAGCTCATTCTCTCTTGATTTAGACGGAATTAAATATTGGGTGCCTCATTTTTTAATAACAGATAAAGTTATTCCCAGCTGAATTTAAAAGAAATCAATATAACTGAAAATTTCGTGCCACCTTCCTCTTTCCATTCAGACCAATTGGACGCTGGAATTTTTAATTGTTTACCCCTCGGGTCACAAGAGATAAGTAAATAAGTAAATAAATAAATAAATGAATAACGATTTCGTGGCGCTAGCTCATCCACATAGTGGTTCTTTGTCTGCCATTCTGGCTCAAATTTACCCCGCCCAAATTTAGGAATTAACGTGGGAGTAACGTTTTTTTTTGGCGGCGATGGCGGAATAAGGGTAAGAAGCAACAAAACTCAATTAGGTCGACCGCATATGAAGTTGCCTGAGGAATCAAGCAGAGGACAGTCATTAATGAGAGGGGAGTGTTCTCACCTGAAATACAGTAGAACCTCTATATAACGAACTCCCCGGTATAATTAACAATTACTCCACCAGTGTGCGTTGGATATGAGATGGTAGAGAGCCAACGAGGCGCGTAGCACCGTTTTGGCAGAAAGAAAAAGGAGAATTTGTCGTCGTATGTTCACTTTCTCTATAAAACGTCGTATTCCTTGATTAGGAGGCTTTACTTAATAGTTGTGCAGTCAACGTCAAAGAAATGTACTAAGAAGCTTGACGCACGTGCAGCAACTTTTATTTTCATGTTAAAACTAATTGTGTTTTGACGTTGACGTCGTGGTGGTTCAGATTTTTACATTTCAGATTTTGATATTTTTTCCACTAATTCGAGAGGTTGCCATAAAAATTACAAATATATTACAAAAACAAGAAGAAGAAAAAAAGCAAATTACATAAATCCTAATCAAAGGCGAAATGTGTGCAGTGGCCAAAGGAGCTTAGGCTTTCGAGTTGGTCACTTAAGCCAACTACAAAGTTAAAATGACTGGGTGCATGACCTATGAGCTTTGAAATTAAGACGAAGAATTCCTTCTCAGTTCCAGTTAAGAGAGTATCTAAGACAAGTTCTCCTGTTGACTTCTATTCTGACAAAAAACAAATGGAACTGAAGTGTACCTTCAAGGGATGGCCTCGTCCTCGTATACTTTGGTACAATCCAAAAAACAAACAAATCATCAACGGATCTGGAGGTTTTTACATCTCAGAGCAGCTGGATCGAGAGGATACCTTAACTTCCCTTCTCCGTAATCCTGATATCCAAGAAAATCAAGCAGGGGCTTATAAATGCACTGGAATGAACAACATTACTGGCTGTTCGATTGAAAAATCAGGGATAATTGACCTGATTTATGGCTGTGAGTCATTTAACTTCTTACTTGAATTCTTTTTATACACACGGATGCACAAAACCAGCTTTATTAACAGTACCTCCTTTGTATCAGGTTCAGCATAAAAATGTATTGCCGTGTTTGCCCTGTAAGCAATGGAAAGTATCCCATTTAGAGTTTAGACTTATAGGGACAGCTCATTCTTTCGTGATTTAGAGGGAATTAAATATTGGGTGCTTCATGTTTTAAATAACAGATAAAGTTATTCCCAGCTGAATTTAAAATAAATCAATATAACTGAAAATTTCGTGCCACCTTCCTCTTTCCATTCAGACCAATTGGACGCTGGAATTTTTATTTTCTTTATCCCTCGGGTCACAAGGGATAAGTAAATAAGTAAATAAATAAATAAATAAATAAATAAATAACGATTTAGTGGCGCTAGCTCATCCACATAGTGGTTCTTTGTCTGCCATTCTGGTTCAAATTTAACCCGCCCGCCTGGCGGGATTAACGTGGGAGTGATGTATTTTTCTAACGGCGATGGGGGAATAAGGATAAGAAGCAACAAAACTCAACTAGGCCGACCACATATGAAGTTGCCTGAGGAATCAAGCAGAGGACAGTCATTAATGAGAGGGGAGTGTTCTCACCTGAAATACAGTAGAACCTCTATATAACGAACTCCTCGGTATAATTAACAATTATTCCACCAGTGTGCGTTGGATATGAGATGGTAGAGAGCCAACGAGGCGCGTAGCACCGTTTTGGCAGAAAGAAAAAGGAGAATTTGTCGTCGTATGTTCACTTTCTCTATAAAACGTCGTATTCCTTGATTAGGAGGCTTTACTTCATAGTCGTGCAGTCAACGTCAAAGAAATGTACTAGGAAGCTTGACGCACGTGCAGCAACTTTTATTTTCATGTTAAAACCAATTGTGTTTTGACGTTGACGTCGTGGTGGTTCAGATTTTTACATTTCAGATATTGACATTTTTTTCCACTAATTCAAGAGGTTGCTATAAAAATTACAAATATGTGACAAAAACAAGAAGAAGAAAGCAAGCAAATTACATAAATCCTAATCAAAGGCGAAATGTGTGCAGTGGCCAAAGGAGCTTAGGCTTTCGGGTTGGTCACTTAAGCTCCCTAGTTTAAATGACTGGGTGCATGACTTACGAACTTTGAAATTAAGACGAAGAATTCCTTCTCAGTTCCAGTTCATAAAGGAGATAGGACAAGTTCTCCCGTTGACTACTATCCTAACAAGAGAGAAATGATACTGAAGTGTTCCTTCAAGGGGCGGCCTCGTCCTCGTGTAGCTTGGTACAATCCAGATAAAAAACAAATCATCAACGGATCTAAAGGTTTCTACATCTTAGAGGAGCTGGGTCGAAAGGATACCTTAACTTCCATTCTCCGTAATCCTGATATCCAAGAAAAACACGCAGGGGCTTATAAATGCACTGGAATGAACAACATTGCCGGCTGGTCGACTAAAATATCAACGAATATTGACCTGAATTATCGCTGTGAGTCATTTAATTTCTTATTTCTAATACTACGGATGCGCAAAACTACCTCCTTTGAAGCAGGTTCATAAAAACATAATACCATGTTTTTCCTGTAAGCAATGGAAAGTATCCTATTTAGACTAAGAGACACAGCTCATTCTCTGTTGATTTAGACGGAATTAGATATTGGGTGTTTCATATTTCAAATAACAGATTAACTTATTCCTAACTGAATTTTAAAAATAAGTGACTGACAATTTCGTGCCACCTTCCTCTTCCATTCAGACTACATGGACGCTGGAATTTTTATTTGTTTACGCCTCAGGTTTCAAGGGATAAGTAAATAAGTAAATAAGCAATGATTTAGTGGCGCTATCTCATCCACAAAGTGGTTCTTTGTTTGCCATTCTGGCTCAAATTTACCCCGCGCATCTGGCGGGATTAACGTGGGAGTTATGTGTTGTTTTGGTGGCAATTGCGGAATAAAGGTGAGAAGCAACAAAAGTGAACCCGGCCGGCCACATATGATTCTGCCTGAGGAATCAAGCAAAGGACAGTCATTTATGAGAGGGGAGTGTTCTCACCTGAAATTCAGCAGAACTTCTATATAATGAAGTCGTCGGTATAATTGACAATTATTCCACTTATTCCACGAGTGTGCGTTAGATATGAGATGGTAGTTAGCCAACGAGGCGCGTAGCACCGAGTTGGCTATAATCATCTCATATCTAACAAGCGCGAGTGGAACAATTATTCTATTGAAAACGCTCACAAAATATTGAGAAATCTTCCCAACTATATTTGTAAACCAACCGATTTTCATCTTGTTTTTAATTTTGAACAGACGCGTACAGTTACCATATTTGAAGAGCATGGTATAACGGCTCATATACCATGATGGCTAAGCCAATCAGAGCTCTAGAATTGCATTATCCAATGATTCAATTTTTAATAATAAGTGATACTCTCCCCTCCCAGAAATAATACAGTCAAACCCCGTAAATCCCGACAAGGAACGGGCCGTACTGAGAAAGTGTCTGTATTCACGGGGTGACCTTATTAAGCGGGCAGAAAATGAAAGGGCTTTCTTTCCCCAGGGACAAAGCAAACTGTTCGTAACAATGAGATGTCTATATAGAGCGGGTTTCCAGACTGGAGCGGGGTTTGACTGTACAATAAATAAAAGGAACCTCGATATAACCAAACCTTCTTATAGCTAGCGTATTTTGGCAGTCCTTTGGGTCCTCGTTCAGCTGTTCGTTATATCGAGATTCCAATGTAAAGTGTTATGTGGTTGTTAAAAAGACAAAACGAGACCCCGAATAGCTATTGAAGTCAACACTTAGTAGCACACGTCATATTGGTGGAAGGTAAGAGAAGTGGGGTTCATCCGATCAACCGATCGTTAGAGCGTCTCTAAAGACGGCGTGACGAGGCAAGTCGCAAAAGAGGGAACCAGTGGGATAAACAAAATCAAAACGTATAAACTCCAGAGCGTTTTGATGCCCCATATATTGTCACAAATACTCAAGAGGGGAAGTTAAGAGTGTAAAGGTTACCCCCTACGGTTGCACAAAAAAATGGTAACGATTTTCAAATAATACTTGCTCATCATATCTTCTTATCATCTAATACAGGTCTCTTGCGTCAAGCTGCGCAGTTTACTTCTCTCGACGTTTTCGAGACAGCCTACCGCAATGTCAGTTTAAAGTGCAGAGTAGGTGTTAGCCCAAGCAACTGTGATGACAATTCTTTACAGTGGTATTTTAACAACAGCTCAGTGAAATTAAAATCTGGTGAAAAGTATGATATACGAGAAAGGAAAACCAACACCAAATGCAAAAAAGATTCCATTCTCACCATTGTTAACGCTACTGATGCAGACAAAGGAGAGTATAAATGTCGCTATGTTTGCAACTTCGCTGATTCCTGGTATTCAACTATCCAGTTGAAAGTATTTCCAGGTACTGATACTCCTGTTGTATCTGAAGGTCTTGTGTCACGAAATTTATCAAAATTCAAGAAAACGCCACCAAATTGAGTGAAACATGAAAATAACCGCTCAAAAGCCCGAGGGGGGCGGGGGCGGGGGTGGGGGGGTGTTATTTGGGTAAATTTGTGCCGGGTACTTGCCGCTGGCCTCTCAAAGACCCTACTCTATTATAGTCTAATCTGTGGCCAATTATAGACCCCATCTTAGTCACTTTTGGGCAAATGTGTAGTTTTCGCGATCCCAACTTAGTAACTTTCTATTTTTATGAATTGACCCATTTTTTAGATTGAATGAGCAACACTTTACTTTTCATCTGCAGTACAAACATTCTGGTACGTTTGCTAACCATAAATATGAAGAACTGTTTTACCCCCAAAACTCCGAAAATGTGCGACCCCATGATAGTCAATCCAGTCGTGAAAATGGGACCCAATCCAGCGGCACATCCCCATTAGCCTCTTATAAGGAAGTACTCCCCCTCCCCTCCCCCTCGGGCTCAAAACAGTAACACAGCAAATGCAAAAGGAGTCATGTCATGTGCGGACAAGCTTGAAGGGTTGAACCTGATTGCAACTAAGTGTTTCATAAGAAAACGAAGAATTTAATCCGAAGAATAACTCGCAATTGTATAACAGTAATTTTATTTGATCTGGAATCAAATTCTATTCTATTCAAAAAATGTAATCAAATAATTGATAAATGAAACTAGAAACAGCGGAATAAATGCCGCTCAAAACTAAACGTTGATACAAGCGTAATCACGTGGTTCTTGAAACAAACTCAATTTAAGCTACTTTAACTCTGTTTAAAAGGTAACGAAAGAAAGACTAAACTACCAAAACGAAGGTAACATACAGTTCACTTGCTTCTATGGCGAGTTTTCTAAAATGTCCTCGGAATAAGCATTAAATCGGTCCGGGTAGCAGGTAAACTGTTAACACTTTGATCCTTAATGATCGGTAAAAAACTTACAAAAACTCGAAAAAGCGGGTACTTTTGTGGTTCCTGTTGGGCGTTTACGGTTTTCCTACGTTTGCCAGCAAGATTAAATATAAAAATTCCTTGAATAGTTCTTTTACTACGTTAACACTGAGGTTTTTGAAAACTCAAATAGCCTAAAAGTTTTTCAAAATTCAATTTTTTTTTGCCTGTAACTTTGCATATAATGTTTAGGGAACAAATGTGTTTGACTTGAAGCAGTGATTTTGGCATTTGCGAGTTATTTTACGCTGAGTTCCAGCAAACCATGATGTCATAGCCCATTTGTTCCGGTGAGAGGGTACTCCCTTTGTAAGCGAATTGTTTAAAACCAGTTTGGTCTGAAACAGGGAAAGGTTTTGCGTCGTTTGGTTACAGGGTCTGAAATTACATGTTCGTGCATGAGTTTTTGATATTTTTGTTGTCGCTAATGTTTTAAATCATCCGTCTTCAGGTCTGTGAATAGGGTAGGAAAAGTCGTATTCTACCGAAACTGGTCTACGGCGAATTCCATAAAATAATACGTGCACTTGCAATTTCCTTTTAAACGAATAGGGCAATTGGAGGGTAAAGTCTACTTCTGTTTTTGAAATAATTATAGTGTAAATTATAGCTGAAATTTCTACTTGTGTGGGGCTATTTATTACTAGGTGCCAGACAGCAAATCTGTCGCGATACCCATCAATGGGACGGCGAATCGTAACACCCTCATTTATCTGCATAATCGTTTCACATGATACAATAGCCGAATCAGAATCCAGCATTGCATCTGGGTTGAGTAATGTATCAGGTTCCAGACCTTGGTTCGTTTCGTGTTGTTGTTTAAGACCAGAATATTACAATTTTGGCGACGAGGATGGCGCTTGTAGCTCAAGTTGGAGCGTATGTCGACCGTAAAGAAGATATTGTAAGTTATCTCGAAAGAGTGGAATTGTATTTTGCAGCGAATTATGTCAAGGCAGATTACAAAGTTGCTACGTTTCCAGCGTTTATCGTAGCAGGTGCATATGGCGTGCCGCGAAATTTGTTAGCCCCTGAACGTCCAATATCTAAGTCTTTTGTGCAATAGTATGAAAAGCTGACTGAACGATTTGGAAACCCAGCTCTAATTTCAAAGTCACTGATCAATAAGTTCCTGGAGATATCAGCAGATCACGATGAAAACAATTTGACAACTCGCGCAACATATATTGTAAGAACATTCATGGAGCAGGCTTTAGACCAGCAACTAAAATGTACCAGATTGTTACACAGCTAGCTCCAAAAATTGCAGTAAGGTAAAGCAGGCAAAAGTTAAAGCTACAGCCCAAATAAGTTGACCTTAGCGACCTAGATGAGTGGCTAAAACCGAGAGTCAAGTCGAAGTGATAGCCTTTGGTTGTTCCAGTAATATGCCTTGCTGGAGGGCGAGAAAAGCAAAGGGACATGACAAACAACAAACAAAGGAATCATTCTAAGTGATGTTAGCTTTTTGTTTGGCTATACTCAGTGCGTAGGGCCTCGCCATCCAGTATGGCAGGTTTGTGCAACAAAAATGACTTACTGCAAAGGGCCTATTTCAGGGGCACCCAACGTCAATTTTCGGAAAATATCTGTTCGGAAGACGATTTGAGATCTGGAATTTTCGGAACATTTGTTGTAAAATTTCTTGCTTGCGTGCCTCTCCTAGGATTTTCGAACATCTAAAACATGGTATAATTGCCCATTTTTAACGGATTTCTTACCCTAAAAAGTTCACCTAGAATTTTCGGGGGCCTTTTTTCTGGCTGAAATTTTCGAAAAGGTAAGTTTTGATCACTATAATTTTCGGATCACCAGACGTTCAGCTAGAAAATCCGAGCAGATGAAACATTTTTAGGATATAAAAATGTGCTTTTATCCACCGTTTAAATGCTAAAATACGTTTAACAAGGCTATGTTTAAGTGGTTTTGAACTATATTCTCGTTGGGTGCCCCTGCTATTTAAAATGAACAAGGCATGGTGTAAAACATGTTTGGTCCGTTTGGGAAGGTTTCGGTAAGAGAGATGACTGTAGATATCTAAAAAAATGGTGAGTTAAGCAACGACGTCGACGACGACGGCGACGGCAGTGAAAATGTCGCTAAAAATTTAAATTTGCCTCATTTCAAATGTTATCGCGTCTATGTGGAGCTGCTTAATTTTTCAAATGTAGGCGATTTCTCTTGGAGTTGAATTCTTAAGGACTTTATTCAGGTTCAGAAAAAAAAAAAAAGGAGAATTTGTCGTCGTATGTTCACTTTCTCTATAAAACGTCGTATTCCTTGATTAGGAGGTTTCACTTCATAGTCGTGCAGTCAACGTCAAAGAAATGTACTAAGAAGCTTGACGGACGTGCAGCAACTATTGTTTTTATCTTAAAAAATTGTTTTTGATTGCCATTTGTGGGCGTTGAAAGAATAAAATGGTAAATCTGAATAAATCAAGAGGTTACTACAAAATAGAATTACAATACATTACAAAAGTAAGAAAAAAATAAAACAATAATTTACATAAATCCTGATCAAAGGTGAAATCTGAGCAGACGCCATAGTAGGTTTGGGTTTTAAGTTGGTCACTTAAGTTTCCTAGTTTAATGACTAAGTGCATGACTTAGAAGCTTTGAAATTAAGACGAAGAATTCCTTCTCAGTTCCAGTTAAGAGAGTATCTAACACAAGTTCTTCCGTTGACTACTATCCTGACACGAGAGAAATGGAACTGAAGTGTACCTTCAAGGGATGGCCTCGTCCTCGTGTAGTTTGGTACAATCCAGATAGAAAACAAATCATCAACGGATCTGAAGGTTTTTACATCTCAGAGCAGCTGGTTGGAAAGGATACCTTAACTTCCCTTCTCCGTACTGCTAATATCCAAGAAAAACACAGAGGGGCTTATAAATGCACTGGAATGAACAACGTAACCGGCTGGTCGAGTAAAAAATCAGGGTATATTGACCTGAATTATCGCTGTAAGTCATTCAATTTCTTATTTCTAATACAACACACGGATTCGCAAAACTACCTCCTTTGAAGCAGGTTCATAAAAACATAATACCATGTTTTCCCTGTAAACAAAGGAAAGTATCCCATTTAGATTAAAAGGGACAGCTCATTCTCCCTTGATTTAGACGGAATTAAATATTGGCTGTTTCATATTTCAAATAACAGATTAACTAATTCCTAACTGAATTTTAAAAAAATGTACTGACAATTTTGTGCCACCTTCCTCTTTTATTCCGACTAAATGGACGCTGGAATTTTTATCTGTTTACCCCCCGGGTCACAAGGCATAAGTAAATAAATAAATTAAAATAAATAAATAAATAAATAATGACTTCGTTGCGCCAGCTCATTCACAAAGTGGTTCTTTGTCTACCATTCTGGCTCAAATTTACCCTGCGCAGCTGGCGGGATTAACGTGGGATTGATGTGTTGTTTTGGTGGCAATGGCGGAATAAGGGTGAGAAGCAACAAAACCGAACCCGGCCGGCCACATATGATGTTGCCTGAGGAATCAAGCACAGGACAGTCGTTAATGAGGGGGGAGTGTTCTCATCTGAAATTCAGTAGAACCTCTACATAACGAAGTCCTCCGTATAATTAACAATTATTAGATTTATTCCACGAGTGTGCATTGGATATGAGATGGTAGTTAGCCAACGAGGCGCGTAGCACCGAGTTGGCCTTAATCATCTCATATTCAACAAGCGCGAGTTGAATAATTATTCTATAAAAACCGCCCACAAAATATCGAGAATTCTTCCCGACTTTATTTGTAAACCAAGCGACTTTCATCTTGTTTTTAATTTTGAGCAGACGCGTACAGTTACCATATTTGGAGACATGGTATAACGGCTCATATACCATGATGGCTAAGCCAATCAGAGCTCTAGAATTACATTATCCAATGATTCAGTTTTTAATAATAAGCGATACTCTCCGCCCCAGAAATAATACAGTCAAACCCCGTAAACCCCGACACTGAAGGGGCCGTACTAAGACAGAGTCCGTATTAACGGGGTGACCTTATTAAGCGGGCAGAAAATGAAAGGGCTTTCTTTCCCCACGGACAAAGCAAACTGTCCGTAACAATGAGATGTCTGTATTGAGCGGGTTTCCAGACTGGAGCGGGGTTTGACTGTACAACAATTAAAAGGGAACTCGATATAACAAAACCTCTTTATGGCGAGCATATTTTGCCAGTCCTTTGGGTCTTCGTTCAGCTGTTCGTTATATCAAGATTCCAATGTAAACTGTTGTGTGGTTGTTAAAAAGAGAAATGGAGACCCCGAATAGCTATTGAAATCAACCCTTAGTAGCACATGCTATATTGGTGGGAGGTAAGAGAAGTGGGGTTCATCCGATCAACCGATCGTTAGAGCGTCGCTAAAGACGGCGTGAGGAGACAAGTCGCAAAGGAGGAAACCAGTGGGATAAAATAAATCAACACGTAAAAACTCCAGAGCGTTTTGATGTCCCATATAATGTCACAAATACTCAGGAGGAGAGGGTAAGAGTAAGATTGTTACCCCTTACGGTTGCAGGAAAAAATGGTAACCATTTTAAAATAATATTTGCTTATCATCTCTTCTTATGATCTAATACAGGTTTGTTGCCTAAAGCTCCGCAGAGATCTTCTTCCCAGGTTTCGGTGACAGCCTACTTCAATGTCAGTTTAAGGTGCTTAGTATTTGTCAGGCCAAGCGACTGTTGGGACAATTCTTTACGGTGGTATTTTAACAACCGCTCAGGGGAATTAAAATCTGGTGAAAAGTATGATATACAAGAAAGGAAAACCAACACCAGATGCAAAACAGATTTTATTCTCACCATTGTTAACGTTACTGAAGCAGACGAGGGAAAGTATGAATGTCAGTGGCTCTGCAAAAAGGACTACCCCAGCTTTTCCAGGTCTTCAATTATCCAGCTGAAAGTGTTTCCTCCTTCAGAAGAAGTTACTGATACTCCTGTGATATCTAAAGGTATTGTGTCACGAAATTTATCAAAATTCAGAAAGTGGAAAACTTTACTCGGGTAAATTTTTCGCTGGCCTCTCAGAGCCTATACCCCATATAGTCTATTCTGTGGCCAATTATAGACCCCATCTTTGTCACTTTTGGGCAAATGTGTAATTTTCGCGATCCCAACTTAGTCACTTTCTATTTTTATGAATTGATTCATTTTTTAGATTGAATGAAGAACACTTTACTTTTCATCTGCAGTGCAAACATTCTGGTACGTTTGCTAACCGTAAATATGGAGAACTGTCTTACCCCCAAAAATCCGAGAATGTGCTACCCCATTATAGTCAATCCACCTGTGAAAATGCGACCCCATCCAGCGGCACATCCCCATTAGCCTCTTATAAGGAAGTACTCCCCCTCCCCTCCCCCTCGAGCTCAAAACAGCAAATGCAAAAGGAGCCGTGTCATGTGAGGACAAGCTTGAAGGGTTGAAACTGCGTGCAACTGAGTGTTTCATTAGAAAACGAAAAATCCAATCCGAAGAATAACTCGCAATTGTATAAAAGTAATTTTATTCGATCTGAAATCAAATTGAACAAATATATTCTATTCAAAAAGTGTAATCAAATAATTGATAAATGAAACTAGAAAAAGCGGAATAAATGCCGATAAAAGCTAAACGTTGATAGAAGCGAAATCACGTGGTTCTTGAAACAAACTCAATTTAAAGGGATACAATCATCTATGAGACCGCGGTGACCTGGACACTACTTTTGGCAGTTTGAAAAGAGTTTACCTCAACCCGAAATCAAATGAATGCGTCGGCTACATCTAGAAATCCGTTTCAATTTTGCCTAGTGTTTCATTCGATCCTTGATCTTTTACAGAAATCCTCTATTTGAGCAGACTTTAACTCATCCTATGACATTGTTTAATCATATTTGGCTAAAAACAGCATCCAAAGGAACATGAGGGGAACATTGGGGGGTACCCAATACCACAATACCGTAAGAAAAAAAGGCGCGTCGAAAATCGTCTAAATACCGATACCGCATATTTTAATCACATTCATAATCGGTTCCACAAACTTTTGGGGGCTCCCATCTAGCGCGTTTAATTATCTCAGGTATTTATGCACCAGATGTCCATGTTTTTTTTTTTAATATTTTGGTAGTTGGCAAATTTTTGGCAAATTTTCACTGAAAAGAACCTTCTGGTAGGTCGAACCAACAGCTAACTAACTCCAATAAAAATAACTCTTGAAAGCGCGAAAAAACAAACAAACAAACCAACTAACCAACCAAAATCCTTTCCACACACGTCTAGTGCGAGTTTGGATCAGTCTATAGTCTAGTACGTCAGTATCTCAGGGGTCAACTATCTTGACTGTCTAACACGCCGCGCCGGTAAGAGGCAAACTTACCAGATTTTCTTTTTTAACTTTATAAGGCGTTTTTCAATTCTCGAAACCAGACATCTAAACTTACTCTTGTTGCGATAATGCTCGCCTCCTTCGCCCTCTTCATAAAAAATTGCCACACAGTCAATGATGACCACGCCGTCTGCGCCGTCTCAGCGACCTCAGCCATTGTGAGAAAACGTGTAAGACCTCGAATTGCCGGCACAGGTATAGTCTGCTACACAGCCGTTTTTAGTGTCGTCACGCAACGCTCCTCCTCAGTGGGAGTTCTTGGAGATATCGGCAGATCAGGATGAAAACAATTTGACAACTCGCGCAACATTGTGCGAACATTCATGGAGCAAGCTTTAGACCAGTAACTAATATGCAGCAGATTGTTATAAAGCTACCTCCAAAAATTGCAGTAGGGTGACGCAGGCAAAAGTTAAAGCTACAGCCCAAATAAGTTGACCTTAGCGACTTAGATGAGTGGCTGAAACCGAGAGTCAAGTCAAAGTGATAGCCTTTGGTTGTTCCAGTAATATAGAGAATCCTGAACAAGAGAAACCCAAGTCAAATTCAAATAAATCGAAGTGGCTCTGGAGAAAGAACATGCGAAGACTCACTCATGTAATGTTTTGTGAGCTAAGAAAAACATGTACTGACATTGTATGAAACGTGGAAGAATCAAATGCAAGTGAACGATGGTGATTATAAGAGAAGATGGGTTTGTGCTTTAGATGCCACAGTAGAGGACATCGTCGGCTGAGGCATTCCAATCCTCGCAAGAAGCCACAGGAGAGACGTCATCACCTGGAGTACCAACTAATCACACAAGCTGTTGAGGTTCTGAAGACTTGAACCGGTAAGTGTACTACGCCCTGAAAGGGTAGCGCTGCAGATGATACCCACCATATTGATGGTGGGTCTGGGTCGTCCTTCCTCAAGAGGAGATCGCTGATATACTGGGTTTGCACGTACTCTGTGTTGCTGCTTTTAGAGCGAAGTCAAATGTAACGGATAGCAAAACTGTAACTTTCCGCCAGCCTTGAGGGTATGAATGGGAGCAACAAGAAGCAATTATTTTTTGCGGAAATTTGTGAAATAAAAGCAATTGATTGGTCCGTCAATGCAAGGAATTAGATCATAACCGCGACTTGGAGATCATAAAGCCAGTTCAACATATAGAAGTTGATTGAGAAGTCTGAGTGTCAAATCAGCCATTGCAAAGCTATCTTTTGAGAAGCCCATTACTTTACCAAAGAACAATAACCAACCAAAAAACATATTACATGGTCTGGGATAGTGACTTCCACTCGGATAGTAGGTTTGTCAACAGTTCATGAAGAGGTTCGTGTTAGTTAATGAATGTTTGGATCAATTTAGGCTTCTGGGAAACTTCCCACCTACCCCTCCCCTAAGCTAACATTAACACTTACTTCTCACTTAAGGCAAAACTACGGCTTAGGGGAGGGGTGGGTGGGCAGTTTCCCAGAAAGCTAAATCGCAAATGTTTGATGAAATAAAGAATTTCCCTTTTTATTCTTTTCTTTTTTACGCGATAGACGTGTCACCCACAGGGAACCTAGACTGTGAAATAAGTGCACAGAAATGCCAAACGCCTTTTCAGACGATGACAGTAACGCCCAAACACTCTAAAGTGACTTTGAACTGCTCGATTAAGAATGGGAGAGGAGTACAAGATATGACCTGGAAGCACCTTGAAAAACACCTCAATGCCAGCAGTGACGCCGGTCTGTTCTTACAACACATCGATTCAAAGAACAGAAGTCAGGCACGTGATTGTTTTTCTATAAAATACGCCAGTGAGTATGTTCTTCTTTTGCCTTGTCTGTATTACATTGATGGGGAGAAAAATATCATAATACGCCCATCAGTTTTTTTGTGTGTCTTATTTTTTAAATGGATTATAACGAATCCTATGAATGCCTCGTAACAGATTTAGGCAGATTCAAGCTCAGCAGAGGCAATTTTTACGGTTGGATAGATCGGAAAATCGGTTGAAGTTATAGCCAGCTGAATCAGCTCACTTGAACCTGCTTTACCGCGAAACTCTAGTTGCTCATGCCATGTTGGAAGGCAAGGAAAGCAAAGGGATATGAAAACAATAAACAAAGGAATCATTTTAAATGATGTTAGCTTTTTGTTTGGGTTGACTCAGTGCGTAGGGCCTCGCTCTCCAGCATGGCAGGTTTGTGCCACAAAAGTGACTTACTGCAAAGGGCCTATTTAAAATGAACAAGGCATGGCATGGAGTAAAACATGGAAGGTGTCGGTAAGAGAGATGACTGTAGTTACCTTAAAAATCGTAAGCTAAGCAACGACGGAGACGGCAGTGAAAATGTCGCTAAAAAATTAAATTTGCCTCATTTCAAAATGTTATCGCGTCTATTTGGAGCTGCTAAATTTGCAGAATTTGTCAAATGTAGACGATTTCTCTTGGAGATGAATTCTTAAGGACTTTATTCAGGTTCAGAAAGAAAAAGGAGAATTTGTCGTCGTATGTTCACTTTTTCTATAAAACGTCGTATTCCTTGATTAGGAGGTTTCACTTCATAGCTCTGGAGTCAACGCCCGAGGTGTACTCCCAAACATTACCTATACGGGTATGTGCCGCCCAACGGGGTCGTGATTTTGAAGCTCCTGGTTTAGAACGGGGTATCCATTTCAGAGACGTTTTCTAGAACAGGGTATAATATTTCGAACGCACGAAAGCTCCAGTTTTGTAAGCAGCCATTTGAAATTATTCAAGGACAGATTGCTTTTAAAAATACGATTCAATGCGTTAACAAGCAACCTACTATACTCTTATTGCACCCTAGAACGAAGTATAAAAAGTTGGCCCATTTCTGGAACGGGGTATCAGCCTTGGAGCGAATTCTAGAACGGGATATAAAAAATTGGCCCATTTCTAGAACGGGATATCAATTTTAGGGGAATTTTTTTTAGAACAGGGTGCCAATTTGGAGTCCTGGACGGCACATACCCACCCCCAAAATACCCAAGTACGCTCCCCGGGAGTCAACGTCAAAGAAATGTACTAAGAGACGTACGTGCAGCAACTGTTGTTTTCATGTTAAAACCAATTTTGTTTTGACGTTGTCGTCGTGGTGGTTCAGATTTTTACATTTCGGATTTTGATATTTTTTTCCACTAATTTAAGAGGTTGCTATAAAAATTACACATATATGACAAAAACAAGAGGAACAAAACCAGCAAATTACATAAATCCTGATCAAAGGTGAAATGTGCGCAGTGGCCAAAGGAGCTTAGGCTTTTGAGTTGGTCACTTAAGCTCCCTACAAAGTTTAAATGACTGGGTGCATGACTTATGAGCTTTGAAATTAAGACGAAGAATTCCTTCTCAGTTCCAGTTAAGAGAGTATCTAAGACAAGTTCTCCCGTTGACTTCTATTCTGACACAAAACAAATGGAACTGAAGTGTACCTTCAAGGGATGGCCTCGTCCTCGTGTAGTTTGGTACAATCCAAAAAACAAACAAATCATCAACGGATTTGGAGGTTTTTACATCTCAGAGCAGCTGGATGGAGAGGATACCTTAACTTCCCTTCTCCGTAATCCTGATATCCAAGAAAATCAAGCAGGGGCTTATAAATGCACTGGAATGAACAACATTACCGGCTGGTCGATTGAAAAATCAGGGATAATTGACCTGATTTATGGCTGTGAGTCATTTAATTTCTTATTTGAATTCTTCTTATACACACGAATGCACAAAACCACACCATTAATCCATTAATTAACAGTACCTCCTTTGTATCAGGTTCAGCATAAAAGGGTATTGCCGTGTTTCCCCTGTAAGCGATGGAAAGTATCCCATTTAGACTAAGAGGGACAGCTCATTCTCTCTTGATTTAGACGGAATTAAATATTGGGTGCTTAATGTTTTAAATAACAGATAAAGTTATTCCCAGCTAAATTTAAAAGAAATCAATATAACTGAAAATTTCGTGCCACCTTCCTCTTTCCATTCAGACCAACTGGACGCTAGAATTTTTTTTTGTTTATCGCTCGGGTCACAAGGGATAAGTAAATAAGTAAATAAATAAATAAATAAATAAATAACGATTTAGTGGCGCTAGCTCATTTACATAGTGGTTCTTTGTCTGCCATTCTGGCTTAAATTTACCCTGCGCAGCTGGCGGGATTAACGTGGGAGTGATGTTTTTTTTTTGGCGGCGACCACATATGAAGTTGCGTGAGGAATCAAGCAGAGGACAGTCATTAATGAGAGGGGAGTGATGGTAGGGAGCCAACGAGGCGCGTAGCACCGTTTTGGCAGAAAGAAAAAGGAGAATTTGTCGCCGTATGTTCACTTTCTCTATAAAACGTTGTATTCCTTGATTTGGAGGTTTCACTTCATTGTCCTGGAGTCAAAGTCAAAGAAATGTACTTAGAAGCTTGACGCAGGTGCAGCAACTGTTGTTTTCATGTTAAGACCTATTGTGTTTTGACGTTGACGTCGTTGTGGTTCAGATTTTTTCATTTTAGATTTTGCTATTTTTTTCCCACTAATTCAAGAGGTTGCTATGAAAATTACAAATATATTATAAAAACAAGAAAAAGAAAACCAGCAAATTTCATAAATCCTGATCGAAGGTGAAATGTGGGCAGTGGCCAAAGGAGCTTAGGCTTTCGAGTTGGTCACTTAAGCTCCCTACAAAGTTTAAATGACTGGGTGCATGACTTACAAACTTTGAAATTAAGACGAAGAATTCCTTCTCAGTTCCAGTTCGGAAAGAAGATAAGACAAGTTTTCCCGTTGACTACTATCCTAACACGACAGAAATGGAACTGAAGTGTACCTTCAAGGGATGGCCTCGTCCTCGTGTAGTTTGGTACAATCCAGACAAAAAACAAATCATCAACGAGTCTAAAGGTTTCTACATCTTAGAGCAGCTGGGTCCAAAGGATACCTTAACTTCCCTTCTCCGTAATCCTGATATCCAAGAAAAACACAAAGGGGTTTATAAATGCACTGGAATGAACAACATTGCCGGCTGGTCGACTAAAATGTCAACGTATATTGACCTGAATTATCGCTGTGAGTCATTTAATTTCTTATTTCTAATACTACGGATGCGCAAAACTACCTCCTTTGAAGCAGGTTCATAAAAACATAACACCATGTTTCTCTTGTAAGCAATGGAAAGTATCCCATTTAAACTAAGAGGGACAGCCCATTCTCTCTTGATTAAGACGGAATTAAATATTGGCTGTTTCATATTTTAAATAACAGATTAACTTATTCCCAACTGAATTTAAAAAAAATATAACTGACGATTTCGTGCCACCTTCCTCTTCCATTCAGAATAAATGGACGCTGGAATTTTTATTTGTTTACCCCTCGGATCACATGGGATAAGTAAATAAGTAAACAAATAATGATTTAGTGGCGCTATCTCATCCACAAAGTAGTTCTTTCTCTACCATTCTGGCTCAAATTTACCCCGCGCAGCTGGCGGGATTAACGTGGGAGTGATGTGTTGTTTTGGTGGCAATGGCGGAATAAGGGTGAGAAGCAACAAAACTCAACCCGGCCGGCCACATATGATGTTGCCTGAGGAATCAAGCACAGGACAGTCATTAATGAGAGGGGAGTTTTTTTCACCTGAAATTCAGTAGAAACTCTATATAACGAAATCGTCGGTATAATTCACAATTATTCCACTTATTCCACGAGTGTGCGTTAGATATGAGATGGTTTAGCCAACGAGGCGCGTAGCACCGAGTTGGCTATAATCATCTCATATCCAACAAGCGCGAGTAGAATAATTATTCTATTAAAAACGTCCATAAAATATTGAGAAATCTTCCAA